AGATTTTTGTCCTGTTATAAAATAAAATCTTATAAAAATTACCCTGTTTATTAATTGTTGTATTTATTATTATTATTATTATTATTATTATTATTGTCTATTTAAGTATTTTTGCAATTAAACATTTTCAACTGTATTCCAAAGATGAATAGTCTGATATGAATTGCTAAGGCCACAATTACATTTTCCTGAAACATCTGACCTGTTGATCAGGCACTGCTGTCAACAAATTAACGGCTTCAATAAAGATTGTATAACGACCTTAGAAACCTCAACATGTATACATATCATTTATATATATATTAAAACGTAATTCAGCAGAGCTGTGTTATTGTATTTCATTTAATTTCGTTGTTTTTCACGGTAAAGATAATCAGAATAGATGAGCCGAGGTGCTGACGTCATCGAGTACGCTGCTGTCCCAATTGCACATAAATGGCGATGCGTTCTCCCGGACTCGCTAGACCATACTTGCGAGTACAGACTAGCGAGTACGGACTTGCGAGAACAAAAGTACGGACTTGCGTACTTGAGTATTGAGACATGGCTAAAGTTCACAGGAGAAGGAGGGGGGTGGGGAGGGGCCGAGCATCTGTCTGCATAACATCCAGGAGAAGTGGAGAGATATTAGCTTTCCAAGGCCGAAGTGGGGGAGCCGAACGTAGATAAAGAAGATTGTTTTGGGTCAGGCCAACTTTGCAATTTACCGTCAGCCTTAAAGTCCCACTGGTTCTCTTTGTGATCCAAAAAGCTGAATTTGATGGCCCATTACAACCATATTGGTCTGTTCAACTGTTCCAAGTTGGTACCCATCTTCCGAATAAGTTCTGGAATCCCATCCAGTTTGCGATTAAGTTCGCATATCGTTTGTGTGTGAGTGTTGGCAGCCCGAAACATTCCCTCAATGACAGGCAGCTTCTCAATTGCCGAAAGTGCTGCCATTGCCTTCCGAACTTTGCGATAAAACAGCAACCCGCAAACTCCAAACAGCAGGAAGCCTGTTATCATACTCCCAATTATGTAGACGTCTTCAACATCCTCGACGGAAAGTATAGAGAGGCACACGACCCTCCACTCCTTCCAGGATTCCATCGTGTATCCCGCTGCAAACATTCCGTCAGGGCAGGCGGGCTCTCCTTTGCCCAGTTTTCTCATCGAGAAAATTTGATTAATTGCGTTGAGAGACCAGCTGATCAAATCCATAATTTCAGGTTTTGGAGAGAAATGCAGAGAGAGGCTCTGATAGATTCACACAGAGACAACACAAGACAAAGAGCAGCAAGCAGGGCAGATAAGGGCAAGGTAGGGAGCCAGAGAAAAAGCGTCCGCCTTCGTTGAGAGCAGGAAGAGAAGATAAATCAAAGGTTATGAAGAAGCATGAATAAAATGCTTTCAAAGGAAACCAAGGCTCAGTGAGGCACAGTTCCAACTGTCTATGTAGAAATCTGAGCACTAATACTGACACCAAACAGGTGTTAATTATGCACCGAGCAGGTTTCATGACACTCTGTGAGCTTGAAACCTGTTAAAATCCCATTAGAGAACTTCAAAGATGCATCAGTGTCAGCAAGGAGATAAACACTGCTGCTTTTGAGTTGGGTTTAGCGTTGAGAGCATGTTCTGAACTGAGTACCGCACCAAATCTGCAACATTTTATAAATAAGCAGGATTCATAGGGATCGATTTTGCTAGAAAAGTGACGTTTGGACATGTCGAGTTACAGCAGTGATTATAAAACGACAGTCTGGGACACAACAAAACATAATAATGACCCAGCAAAATGCTGTGGTGTGAATGTGATTAGGCACATGGAAGATGATGATCTAACATGGATGAGCGGTAGGTGTTAAGACTGCAGCGTTTTCATGTTTACGTTTGTTGTCGTAATGACCCAAAACTGCAGGATGTCCAACTTAAGGAAAAAAAAAAATTGAAATCTTTTCCCTTTGTGTGAACATTTTGTCAAAAACAAGCAACATATACAATGAAGAGTAGGAGTTAAACAAAATTTTTGATACAGCAATATATCATGTCACTTTCACTTTAGATGCATCATTTAACATACAGGCACCAAATATTCATAAAGCTACAAATCAAGGCCAATCAACACTGAAAGATAGATGGTGACAAGCTCTCTTTCAAAAAAAAACATGTGAAACTCAAACAAAGTCTTTTCAACATAATTTTCTGTTGGAGTTTATTTGTTTAGTTATTCTGAATTTTGATGTTCATTTACAAAAAAAAAAATCCAAAAAGAAACCAGGGGAGATGTAGAACAAAGTCAATCAGAGGAAAGTGTAGAGGAAAAATCCCTGCATCCAGAAAGGCAATATGTAAAAGGATTATATCTCAAACACAGATCTTTCTACTAAGAATAAGGCTGGGAGTTTGATAAGCTTTTCATTATTTTATTTAAAATTGAAGTTGTTGAACCTAAAGAAGACGATTAACTGTGCAAAATACTTAAAGCCTGTACTTTCTCTCCTGGTTTTTGGTCTTGTTTCTGGAATTGACAGAATCAGTATTAAACTTCTTTAGGTGTGCCTGCATGTGTGTCTTATTGTGTGTGTTCGGACCTGTAGAGCAGAGTTCATGAAGCAGGTGTTGCCCAGGTTGGTGAGGCCACAGACTCCCGGCTGTCCTCGGTACGAGTCCTGCTCCTCCACAGAGTTCCTCCTGGAAACAAGAACTTAGGTCAACAGCAGGTTCAAATCCACCTGCAGGGCTGGATTTACAACAAGAAAAATCCTTTGGTTGTTATGATGAAGAAAAAAAAGAGGCAACCAAAAAAACAAAAAAGACATGGAAATGTTGTGCATTTCCTGAGTCACCGGTCACTCTCGCCTGTTGCTTTTATTTTGATTGGTCTTTAACCCTCTGAACCCACAAATTGGCTGTTGGATTTGAAAAGCAGGTCATTTTCTTTAAAACACTAAATTTACACCAATAACCTTCATTTTATACTCTAACATTCTGTGTTGTCTTTTTGCTTGTTTACCCCTTGTTGAATACTGCTGCTGTAGCAACAGAATTTCCCTCTGGGATTAATAAAGTCAGTCTAAGTCTATGTCTAATGGGAGCCAGGTAGTGTAAAACCTTTTCGAAAGTCTATAAACTACCCATCTGTGGCATGCTGTTCAATTGGAAAACACCAAATTGAGCGATATTTCATCAAAAGCCTTTTATTTTCATTTTTCATTTTCATTTTCATTTCATTTTCATTTTTTTTTATGTGTCATTTAAAAATCTGGGGAAAAAAATGTGTTTGGTCGAACCCCATTCTTTGAAAAATAAAACATTCTGTCCTTGTTGGCCTGAATGGCAAATATTATGTTGTTGATGGCAAAGTTAAGAGAGGAGAGAATTGCTACTGGACCAGTACATGGAGCGGACAGAAAAAAAAGGCACTTATTGTCCTCAACAAGTTAAACCAGTATTGAGACCCACTACATAGCAGCTCAGATATATCTACCCTGGAATAGATACTTTCTTATTCCCTAAAAACAGTCCTTAAAGAGGTTCCACAGGGACAGTTCTTAGTTTGCCCTAAAAACGCCTGCAAACTCCTGCAGTGGAAAACTGTCTTTCGATACCAAGAACAGTTAAAACTAAGTTCTAAGTCTTTAAAATACACAAATACTATAGGAATGCCAAGACTGTAATTATAACTGCATGTAAGCAGATGTCAATGTAGGAAAAGTACAAAAGTAAAGCAGACAACCTAAGAGGGAGAACGAGGAGACTTCCTCAAGCAGGGAGTCATGATGGGGAGGTAAACAATGACGAATGAGAAGAAAGGAAGTCGTGAAAAAAAAGGCATGAACACAAACAAACAGCAACGGAAAGAATTAAAGAGCAATAAAAGAGACGTGTTGGGCATTCTTACATGATCTGAGGTCTGGAGCTCGGCCAGGTGCCATCAGCATTCCTCGTCTCCATAATCACCGTCTGACACACACACACACACACACACACACACACACACAAACAGGCATGTTGCAGCATATCTCTGAGGTGTACAGCTTGGTATTTTAAAGGCGAGCTGGTGCTATGAGGGTTGGAGGTGATTACAGAGCTATAGACACGCACGCACGCACGCACACACTGAAGCAAATCTACCTGATTTCTTACGGTCTTATTCTACACATCCAGCAGCATTATGATCATGGTGTTAAATAATGTGGCTGGGAGCTGGATGACAGTTTGTCCTCACCATCCCTGAGCTCAAACAGGCGTCCAGCACGCTCATGTGGACGTTCCTGAGACGCTCACAGCTGCTGTCCGAACTCTTCATCCACAGACGGCACTCTGAGCCTGGAGGCACGGAGAAGGCCTGACACATCGCCCTCTGGATTGAATCTGCACAGATGCAGAAAAGCGTTTAACATGGTGGCAGGTGAGTGGCGGGTCAATCTGGTGAGCCAAATCTGGTCCCCACAATCTGACACCCAAAACCTGCCAGCAAAGACATGTTTTCTTTAAAATAAAAACAAATAAAATAAAAAAAAATCACCAAATTGACACAGTTTGTCAGCAAGAAGTCCTTAAACCAGAATAAAATTTGTCACATTCTCAACTTTCTGACGGTCCTTGAACTACTCATCTTTGGCATGCCATTTAGTCGGAAAACTTCCCTAAATCTAGTGATGTTTCCTCAAAATCCCTATATTTTCTATGCGTCATCTTAAAATCTGGCAAAAATATATTGTTTGGTCAAACTAGACTCTGTAAAGAAAGAAGAAAGAAAAGAAATTCTTTGCTCCTTGTCACAACCATAAAGCCAAAAGCGACTCAGCCGCAACCAACAGTCGCATAAAATAAGAAAATCATCTTTTCAGCTGAACTGCAGGCTGTGTTTACAAATGTAAGTAATAAAATGTCTATAGTATGTAGAGCCAATTTTTTTTCCAGTATTGGTTGTTTTTTTACAAAATAGAAATGATAGTTTATCTGTAAGTGTTTACAGGCAAACTATCATCATGATTTTGTAAAAAAAAAGAAAAAACAGTCTTAAAACAAATTCAGTGTTTGTTTCTACTATGTTGCTATGTATCTTTGCTATGCAACTTATTTAGAAAAGGGGTTGCCATCTCCAATGAAGCGCATTAATTATTTTTTTTTAAACTGAAAAACTACCTCTAGCAAGAAATAAATGGATTTTATTCTAAGTTGTTTTTTTTTTTTTTAGTTTAACTTTTTCTAATGTGATACTAAATGCAGGTACAAAATTTTTTATGGAAGCACAGCTTATGACAATTGGCAGCGAGTTGTAGCTCTGGCAGCAAACTAGCTGCTGCACAGGCATTATGCAAATGTGCAACATGGTGACGTAGATGGGTAACAGAAGAAAACGCTGGACTTCAAACGATGCGTGGAATTTTTACGTTTACAGACCTTTTACATGCAAAAAAAAAGATATGAAGGAAAGGGGTGGACATCATCATCAGGTTGCACAGCCCTTGATTTAAAAAGGCTCTAGGAGTCTACACGTTGTCCCTGAAAAACATTGGCCCCACCCGAAAGAAATATGCTAAAAATGGTTTGTCCCCTAATTAAATCAGATTGCTGGTTTAACGTATTATTAAGAGTGTAGCTCTTGGCTCTCCAAACCTTTACAAGTAACTGAGATGGGGAGACCACCTTCTGCAACTGTGACTAAACTTGGGTGTAGCTTTCATTGTGTCTTATTTTTGTTGTGCTGAACTTGGCTGAGTAGCAGCTGAAAATTTTTAGAACAGGTTCAGTAGCATCAGTGTCGCTGACTCATTGTTAGAAGGCTGCTATTTACTGTCTCATTTCTGACTTAAGGCGCTGTCTGACAGCATTGTTTGTGTTTCTGTTAGGTCATTTGTCTGAAGTTTAACATAGCCAGGCTTTCTTTGTGTAAGCCAGCTTGACAAAACCGAAAACTCCAGTCAGAGATAATGACTCTAACAATGGTTATCAACTTTCTTTGTTAACTGAAGCTTTCTGATGCTGGTCGAACACAACAGGGAGTCACTCAGAAACCTGGATAAAATCAATGGCATATTTTAGCTTCTGAAAACAAAATATCGAGTCTACCAGCTTCAAAACCCTGATAATACCCAGAGTACTGGTACCCATGTAAACAGTAAAACTGACAGATACATGGAACAAAGTACGGCGTTTTGTTAGAAATAATGGCGTAAACACCCACAGACCACCAGACAAACTCACATATGTTATCGGCTCGGCTGAACTGTGCCGTGATGACGTTCTCCATGTTGCTATGAAGGCAGAGGAAGATCTCAATGGGGTAAACCTCCACCTTCAGAGTGCTGGGCAGGTCCACCACCTGAAACACACACAGGATTTGCATTACTTCAGAGGACATCTCATTAACTTACATTCATTTCCGGGAGGCTTATCGGTGTGTCTTGTCTTCTTATCCTGTACATTGTGTTTACTCTTGTTCTTTTTTATCTTTCGCTCAGTTTTACGTGCTCTATTTAACCGTGGGACACCTGAAGGCCTGTTATCTTTTTAAATCTTTACTTCAGTTTCAACCCCCCAATGAGAGGCATTTTGACACAATGTGACTATGTATTTGTGAGGTATTTAATTATGTAGTTATTTTCTACAATGGTTTATCAAGCAACTTTCTAAGAATTTATTTTATCACAGACGATATTAACACAACAGTTATGACTGAGAGTTGACAGCCACGCTAGCAGCTCTGTGGGTTGTATTTTGAGCTAAATGCTAACATGACGGAATTCAACAGGAAATTGAGTGGGTTTTTTTAAGCAAAAGTCTTTTTTGCAAATGTTTCAGCTCCTAAGTTATTAATTTTTGCTGTTTATGTTCAGAATTTGTATTTTTGAAAGCTGGTCGAACAAGAAATTACAATATGTTAATTTGGGCTTCAGGGACTGACATATTAGATACTCATCAATCAGTTGATGATGATGAACTAGCACTAAAGTTGCAATAAGTCAGTTATTTGACAAGGTGATTGACATGAAGTTAATCTGAAAATATTTTAACAAAATAATAATTGTCATTTCTTAAACAAAAAAGTCAAATATTTGACTGACATTAATTTGCTGGAGACTTATCCAAACCGTACTAAATGCTTGGTTAGCCTTTAACCTCATCTTTAATCCATGCCCTCATCGTAAAAGTAAATGATTTTCATTACCACTAAATGAGAAGCAGGTCCCCACAATGTGACTGATTGATGTTTCCGCAACGGAACGAGTTCACACAGACACACAATGAAAATGAAGGCAACAACCACCAAATCCATTTTGAACATGTTCCCCAGAGTGTATGTAGTGTTGTTTATGTAGTCTTGCTACCTTGCGTTCCAGTGGCGGCTGATCCTCCACCATGCCGTACCAGGCCAGCAGCTTGTGCCAGGCTTCTGCCGGTACTAACACAAAGTCCTCGTTCTCCACCAAACGCTCCTTGAGGTGGTATGAGTCCAGGTCTGAAACCAGCAGACAGCGTTTCACTGGTTACCTGTTTGTCATTTTAAACCTGCAGTCTCTTGTCTCTTTACAGATCGCAGCATTAACCGACCTTCGAAGAGTTCAGTGTTGTCGATCTGACCAGGGAAGGACGACGAGTTCTGGTCTCCAGTCTCCACAAACTCCTTCCACTGTTCAAACCAGCGGCGATCCACCACGTACCTGACACACACATACACACACACATACACACACACACACACACTATTACACCACTGTTTCGAGGACACACTCATAATACACCTCTGCTTACTTCAGGAGCTTTTCTGTGTTTTGAGTAATCTACAACACATCACTTGAATAAGAAATCAACCCAACATCAACACAAACAACCTAATCTAATCTATTACTTCTGATGTGAGTTGTAAAACCCCAAAATGACTTATTTTTCATCTGTAAGTTTCTATTTGGGCTGCAACTAACAATTATTTTCACTGTTGATGACTTTCTGATTTACAGTTTGATCAGTTTTTGCCAAAGTCTAATATAAAAAATTTTGTTTTATCCACAATCCAAAGGTATTCAGTTTAGTGTCATAGAGGAGGAAAGAAATTAGAAAATATTCACATTTAAGAAGCTTGAATATAAAATTTTGGACATTTTTTCTTAAAAATTACTTCAATTCATTCATAAATTATCAAAATAATCTAGATTAATTTAACAGTTGACTGCCAATTGATTCATCTTTTTATTCCTGTCCACAGATGACTTCATAAAAAAAAAAAAATTTAAAAACTGAAAGACATGAAAAAAAAATATTTTCCACTGATGCAAGCATCTTAACAAAAAGAAACAAAACACACTGTCCATAATAAATTAATGAATGTTTGGTTTATGAAAACTGCCAAAACACATTGTGATGTCATCAAATGTCTTGTTTTTTTCCCAACTGAAAGTAAAAAAAAATAAAAATACAATGAAAAACTAATCAGTTTACCATGACAACAAAAAACAATGCTGGAATTTGCCATATTCTACATTCTACATTTTTTTCACCATTTTAAAGATGACATAGCAAATATTCTGTCATTTGATTCAGCTGTATTTTCCATAAGGTTTAAAAGCTACCAAAACAAAAATGCTAAAATAAAACCAGCAAACAGAAGAAATATTAAATGTTGTTGTTTTTTTTTCAAATTTTTATGTAAAGTTTTCTCTCTGTTGAAAAGCTAAAATCAGGGTGTAAACTTACTGCAAAACCAACTGCTTCTAAGTTGCTGATTTTCTTTTACTGTTTATTTTTGATTCTATTAGTTTCACACTAGTGGTAATAGCACCTTTGACACCTTATTGCACACAGCAAGACGCAACATTCAGTCTTGTAAAAAAACAGAGAAAAGCAGCAAATTCTCTCAACTGAAAAGCAAAACCAGATAATTCTACTTGGAAATATACAATCAGTCACTGACATATTATCATGTTGCCTCACCCAACAAAATAAATGTCTGTAATCACACAAAATGACATATAGCACAGTAAGGTCTCCAAACATTTGACCACTACAAACTCAACACCTCCACCTGTGCAGTGATCAAACTGTTTTATGTAACACATTTCTTCTTCTCCCACCAGCTGCAGGTGTTTTCATTTGCACTTCAGCTCCTCATCTCCGGACACAAAAACAACACATTCAGTTTGGACCACAGCACAACGGTCAGTGTGTCACCACCACACCATAAAAACAACAGCAACTAAAGACAATGGTCCCCTTAATAAGACATGAGCTCCCCTGGAAATATCAGAATTTCAATTCATCTGTGATTTACTCTGATAAAAGTGCCAGCATGTCTGCTGTTTCTGCCATCACTATCCACCAGTGTGGCGGTGCAATATCAGCAATGTCAGAAAAGAAAACATTATTTATGGGAATATATTTTCTGTCATTGTATCTGTCATTTCAGACCACAAAAAGTGAAAAAGTTAAATATTGGGCACACAAAATTTTAATCAGTAAGAACAGAAAACTTGTACACTATTAAAATATTTTGCACAAAAATAGATCGCCTATACATAGACACTGCACTTTGGTTAATATCACCTATTTTTTTTCACTTACACTATTTATGAAGCTGTTATCATTTTGGGGGGTTATTTGGATTATATACTTACTTTATGTAGCAGAAACCTTAACATTTTATGTCACAAACCATATAATTGATCACATATGTAAGTCTACATCTTATCATTTATTACTGTGTAATTTAGTATTTATTTAACTTATTTGAAGCTTTAATTTTTGGACTGACGCTGGTTAATATAGTCAGATAATATGGCAGCAGGCCAGACACTCAGTGGTAAAATCTTGGCTTTCTTGTGTAGTCAGTGTTACAGGAACTCCGGTAACGTAACACCTAAGGCTTAGCCTGACAGTTAGCCTGACAGTTAGCTTGTCATGGACCAAGTTAGTTTGTCAACATAAGCTTCCAGAGTAACTGAGCTGGACTGTATTTAATTTGCTTAAGTCAGGCTTATTTGCTAAATTTGCTTTATGGAACCAATACAACCTGACAACAGGTTATACAAACTGAAATAAGTCTGGCTTATTCTGTGAAATTAAGTAATGAAACAGGTCCCAGATCTAAATGTCTGAACTGGCTAAACATTTGCATTTACCACACAGCCATCACACCAGTTTTGTTCTCAAATGTAGCTGTTGCATTTCACAGATGCAGGTTTACTTCATATTGTAAGTCTCTCAGTCAGATTCCCGAAGTCAGTCTTGACTCCTTAGAAACCTTCCTCTGCTCAGTCAGTCCCGGCCCTCATTATTCTTTTATTGCTGGTTGACAGATAACCACTTTGCTTCCATTTTGCTTCCTACAATCTTGTGAAATTTTTTTTTTTTTTTTTTTTAATGGCAATTTTTATGGAAATAACCCTCTTTCTAATCTATTCTCTGATTTCCTGTCCATGCAGTTATAGATGAGAACATTTGTTCATTAACAAAACATCAAATCAATGAAAAAGCACTGGCAGTAAAACCAGCCCTGGACACCTGTATAGTATATGCAAACATTCAAGGCTCCTGGCCTGCTTTGTAATGTAACAAAGTGTCTGTGGTGAACTGAAAATAAAACAAAGTGGCATTTGTTAGCAACAGAAAAAGCAGAGGAAATCTGCTGAGTCATGGTACTGCACAATTTGTCTGATAATTTTTCATGCATGGTGACACTGTTGAAACCATCAGGAGAAGCCACACATTAAATAAGCAGAGATATAGGGGTATAGCTTCTAAATATCACCTTTAATAAGTATCACCTGTTGTGAAAACTCAGATTTAGATTTGTTAATCTCTTCAACTGCAGTGGGTATTTGAACTTGCAAAGTTTAGATCAATTAGTGTCATAATTGTTAGACAAGCTAAACATACACATTAAGGACAATGACTGCGCTTCAACTGTATTTTCATAGACATAGAAGCTCCCATCAAAGTTGGGGAATAACTAAACAATAAGAAGAAAATTTTGCATTTTATTTGCAAAGCGCTAGTAAAATATTAACTGTATCCATGTTGCTTGGATGATTTAATAAATTGGATTTATTTTGTAGTTGCATCAAAATAACAAGCCCTCTGTTTGATTTATTGTTATCACGTTGGAGTTTCCAGACTAACTCTACAGTGTTGCACTTTGATTTGTAAACATTAATTCACTTTTTGTGCTGTGCTGCATTATACACTGACAGTCTGTTGGAATAAAATTAACTTCAATGAAATGGGTCTTTGTGCTTTTAAAAAGGAAAATTAATTGTTGACATATTTCGACTACATTGTAAAAAGTCAATGGAATAATGGATAAAAAAATAATCAGTCAGTCTTAGTTCCAAATAACAACAATCTGTCTCCTTGATCACTAATAAATCAATGTCAATGTAAATCAAAGTCCAAACAGCAGCCCAAAACACTTAACTTACAACCATGTAAGACAATAATGCATAATCTCACATTTGAGATTTTTCAGCTCATCCTTTAATTGTTGCAGCTACAAAAAGCTGAAATGGTTCTATGATCTGTTTTTCTGCTTACCAACTGAAACACTGGTTGCAGTGACGAGTAACAGCATTTCACATATAAAACAAGTGATAATTTGGACCAATATTGACCTGTCACAGATATATCAGTATCTGGTAAATGTCGTTCAATATGAAAACTTATGCTTATAGACATAATAGAAAAAGAGGCTGCCCCAAAAAAAACTTACTTAGCAATAATGTCATTACAATGTTTGTTCAACAGAGACGTGCCGGTGTTTACAGCTAGCACAGCACTGTTTGCAGCACACAAAGTGTCACAGCTGAGCAATGTTAGCAAAATGGTGATGTTCAACACTGTAAAGTTAATAAACACTGACTCAAACATTTTCCCTTTTCAATATAACTAACATAAATACAAGAATATCGAATATATTGGAATTTTTTACTACCTAAAATTGTCATCAGTTCACTCAGGCTCTGAAATATAACATATAAAGGGCTACACTGGGGAAAATTCTCTGATGGATTAAATACGTATTTGACGATAATACATGTGTACTTTGTCGCTCTAAATGCAGGATTTCTAGTCCATTGCAGTATTTTTTCACTTTAACTCGAGTAAAAGTTCAGGTTGCTTCATCCACTACTGGAAAAAAATGAAACTGAAAGTATGGGCCACATTTCGCTGTAAATGTCTCCAATGTCCAACAATGATCAACCAGCTACGTACAAAACACAGCTGGAATCTTTCGAGACGACCCTGAACGTCTCATCATAGCTAGTTGACAGGTTAGCTTTAGCGTTAGCAGCGACGGCTAACGGTCCGTTCTACCTGGCTAGCAGGAGCTAACACGGCAGCCGTGGCTAACATGTAGCACCAAGCCATTTAACTGCCCCAACAAACTCAGACCTACACCGAATCAGCTCGACTCCGCCGTCAATGTCGTTAACCATATGATGCTAACTGTTAGCCCTGTCACCGTGTGTGTGTATGTGTATGTGTGTGTGTGAAGCAGAGAGGCGGGCGGGCGGACTCTCACCAACTGTCCCCAGCGCGGAGCTCACACTCACGCAGAAGAGATTCGATTTCCCGCCGCTGGGTCTCCAGGCCCGGGGGCTCCGCAGCGGAGCAGCGGCTGTTGGCCGTCATGATCCTAATTAATCACTCATAAATGTCGGAACTGTTAGAAATAATAAACGGAGACAGGAAGACAGAAGTGAGCCGCCGCATTGATCAACCGATAAACGGGGAAGCTACACAGAGAGCTGTGTTTGCGGAAGAAGGAAATATTCAGACCCGGACGGTGTCGACTTCCTGAGCAGAAGCTCGGCACAGCGCTGCCACATGGGAGCTGTTCAATAGTTTATTCGGATATTTTAGCTTTTATTGGAGAACATCGACATTTTTCAGTGTTTATCATATTTATTTATAGCATTTATTGTCTTAGAAATTTTAAAGTTTTTTTCTTTTCTTTTCTTTTATTAAAAAATATAAATGTTTTTGTTACCTTTTTATATATATACAGTTAAAAATATTTCGTTTTTTTGTTTAAAAATGTTTTTAGATTTTAGAAAATGCTTTTTGTTATTTTTTACAGATCTCTTAATGTTTTATAGTGCTAAAGTGTATTGAAACATTAAAAAATATATATGTGAAAGTGTTGATTTGTCTAGTTTTAACTGATGAATGAAAAAAAATAACTAAACGTCCCACGTATTATTTTTCTTTTTAAACCATTTAATAAAAAAATCTCAGTTTCTTTTAGTTTTTGAAGTATAAGTATTTTGTTTTTAGCTTTTATTGACATTTTAAATGTTACCAAAATGTTTAAGTGTCATGCCTGAGAATTAGATAACAATAATAAATAATGATAATACTAATCATGTAAATGTATTATCATTATTACTATTATTATTTTTTGTATGTTCATCCGTTCAAGTCATAACAAACAAAAAGGTATAAATATGCAAAACAGGCATTACTAAGCCCTTAATAATATGCCCAAGGCTTACGTTATATCTTGTGTCGTCATGTGGAGTTATTGTATTATAAAAGTTGTATTTTGTCATTTGAAGTCGATTTATTCGCATGAAATAACTATTTGCTACTAAATGCATGTTTAACGCTGGTTGTTTATCTGGTATTTGATTCGTCTTTTATTGTGCAGCTCTAAGATATCGCGAGGTTTTCTCGGCCAATTAACGTCTTCGCCAATAAACGCCCAGCCAATGAGGTGTCAGCTTACTGTGGTGCGGTTGTCAGGGAGAGAAAGCGCTGTTCGCGGGCTGACAGGCAGCGGGAATCATGGATGTGGAGATGGCAGCGAAACCAGCAGAAAGCGGACAGAAAGCGAACACAGACGCCGGCGAGCCCTCGTCGAAGACCTCTGGGAGCGCCTACGAGCTGCCCTGGGTGGAGAAATACCGACCGCTCAAGCTGAACGAGATCGTGGGGAACGAGGAAACAGTGAGCCGGCTGGAGGTGTTCGCCAGGGAGGGAAACGTGCCCAACATCATCATAGCAGGTCCGTATGGACACACAAAGGGAGAAAGTAGAAAGTTAGAGTTTTATATCTTCTCTAGACAGCTGCAAGTAAAGTTGACCTCTATCCTACATGAAAGGGAGAAAGGGAAAACAGGCAATAAACGTGTTACACTCTGAATAGCTAACTCACAACAACATTAGTAGCTGTTATCTGGATCTGCATTTGTTTCACATAGAAACATTTATCATTTGTCGACACAAAATGTCTCCTCTTCATCACACTGGTGCCTGCTGCATGTTCGGGTGTCTTTAACAATAATCAATTTAGTTCCTCCACAAGTAAGTCTTAGAGGGCCTACATTTTATTTATAAAGGTCTGCAGTAACACAGTAACGGGTATGTATTCAGATAAATAATCATCATTATACCACTGCATCACCTGTGATTCTATAGTGCTGAAAGTATTTTTCAGTGCATTGGTGGTGATTTGTCCTCAAACTCCATTAAATAAGCATAACAGACAATTTACAGTTTATTAAATAGTCAGAAAACAATGGAAAATGTGTCTAAAAAGGTAACGGACTCATTGTCTTTACTGTAAATGAACTGATCGTGGTTGCTGCCGTGCATAGATGCATAGTCACCTCCAAAAGGCCCATAAGTGAGAACAGACCAGAAACGAATCATGTCTGTTGTGTTGCAGGTCCTCCCGGCACAGGAAAGACCACCAGCATCTTGTGTTTGGCCCGAGCTCTGCTAGGTGCCTCAATGAAAGACGCCGTGCTGGAGCTCAATGCTTCAAATGACAGGTGAGACCCTGAACGCTTTACTGCTCGTCACGTTCAAACCAAAATGAACGTTGGATGGGACATCAGGCCTGATGGTGATTGTTGTGTCTCCAGGGGAATCGATGTGGTGAGGAACAAGATCAAGATGTTTGCCCAGCAGAAAGTCACACTGGCCAAAGGACGACACAAGATCATCATCCTGGACGAAGCCGACAGGTGAGATAGCGGGAGTGAACTTTTGTTGTGTTTTTTTTTTTTTTTTAACCTTACTTTATTTGTAAAGTTTCTTTAATAGAGGTCGATGTTTTGCAGGTGACAGTTTAAACGTAAACAGTGCAATCTTTTAGCAAAACTAATATTAAAGGAAGTTTACATCTGCAATGTCTCTGTCCTGCCAGCATGACAGACGGAGCTCAGCAGGCATTGAGGAGGATCATGGAGATCTATTCAAAGACAACACGCTTTGCTCTCGCCTGCAACGCCTCTGATAAGATCATTGAGCCAATCCAGTCTCGCTGTGCGGTGCTGCGCTACTCCAAACTCACCGACGGACAGATCCTCACTCGGTTGCAGGAGGTGGTGGAGATGGAGCGCCTGAGTGTGTCCGATGATGGGCTGGAGGCTGTAATCTTCACCGCCCAAGGAGACATGAGACAGGTGAGGAGTTCAGTGTCCAACGCTTGGCTCAAAAGCACATGACAGATTTGCCTTTGACTCCCTGTTTTTGTGTTTGTAGGCGCTGAACAACCTGCAGTCCACCAACTCCGGCTTTGGCTACATCAACAGTGAGAATGTATTTAAAGTCTGCGACGAGCCCCATCCTCTGCTGGTGAAAAGCATGCTGGGACACTGCGTGGATGGGGACATTGACAAGGCCTACAGGGTGGTGGAGCAGCTGTGGGCGCTGGGCTACTCTCCAGAGGACATAATTGGAAATATCTTTAGGGTCTGCAAGACCTACCAGATGGCTGAGTACCTCAAACTGGAGTTCATCAAGGTAAGAGAGAAATTAGTTCATCAAGCAGAAATCACGTTTTCTGGTTCCAGCTTCTCAAATGTGGGCTATTTTTCTCATTTTAATCATTATTATTCTTATTATTATTTCCTTCATTCCTTCATTTATACAGGTAATGTCATTGAGACACGAGGTCTGATTCTCAAGAGAGACCTGTTTGCAAATAGCAAAACAATACAACATGATGATTAGTGATTGTAAACTGAATATTTTGGGGTTTTTGAAGTTGATAAGACAAAACAGGAAATTTCACACGCGTCACCGAGTGTGCATTTCCATCTCCTGTGATCTGATTCCATACTTAAAAGTTCTGTTTTGAGCAGTTTATAATGTCAACTTCTCATCGTCATGCATCAGTTTCAAGGCATTTTTGGTTCTTGTCCTGTGACTGCGACTGCATCTGAGTCACTTATATCTTCACGGCTGCACTGTGAAGTGCAGAATTTTTAGGTTTTTACCCTATCCAGTTGAGCAAATTATTATTTTTTGGTATTTTATTAAACATCCATCTATTATCTATACACCCCTTAATCGTCACTGGGGTCGCAGGGGGCTGGAGCCTATCCCAGCTGACTTTGGGTGAAAGCAGGGGACACCCTGGACAGGTCACCAGTCTATTGCAGGGCTGCACTTAGAGGCAGACAACCAAGCATGCACCTACGTAGGTGTGAATGAATCACCAATTAACCTCAACATGTTTTTGGACTGTGTGGGAGGAAGCTGGAGAACCCGGAGAGAAACCACCCTGCACAGGGAGAACATGCAAACTCCATGCGGCAAGATCCCAGGTGTCCTCACCGGGACGCGAACCGGCAACCTTCTTGCTGCAAGGCAACTGTGCTAACCACTGATCCATCTCACAGCCCTGTCTATTAAACAGATTTCTATAAAATATCACAATTTTTTTGCTGAGATTTGGTTAAGTTTTGTGATCACATGGCACTCATACATGATTAGTTCATAGACTGTTAGAAAGTGTGATGATTCTGTGTGACTACTGGTCTCAATTTCTTTTTGGTTTTGTTGTTTTCTTTTAAAATACCATGGTGGTCTAGCATCTGTTCCCTCTGTGTCCAGTCTTTATAGGTTAACGCTGTCACACAGAAATGACTGTATTTCCCAAAATGTTGTACTGCTGTAACCCCTGTGTGATAGTCTGAAGGCCTCATGCTGTTGTATGTTTTCCTCCAGGAGATTGGCTACACTCACATGAGGGTGGCCGAAGGCGTTAACTCCCTGCTGCAGATGGCAGGTCTGCTGGGTCGACTCTGCAGCAAGACGGCACCCCCTGCTGCCAGCTGAACCCCACGAACCATCCCATCCACCTGAAACCTGCCTTAGACTGTTCTGTATGTTCACACCTACTAATTTTGATCCAGGTGTGATCTGTGGAAACAAAGTAATTTAAAAAGCATGTATCACCTACAATAAATCACATTTTCACTGATTAGAGTTTTGGTTTTTGGCTGTTTATCATCTTTTAAAAATATGCCAGAATTAAATAGTTTGTACCGGATTCTGTAAAGAAAAACAATTCTGCATGTGTCTGTGTATCTGTGATTCCATTAGTGACTCAGCTGCAATCAACAAATCAGAGAGGAGACAAGTAAGGAAATCAATGTCCATCCATCCATTATCTATACACCGCTTAATCCTCACTTGGGTTGGGGGGGAGGGCTCCAACAATAAAAATACAACACATACACTCACTGGCCACTTTATTAAGTGCACCTTGCTAGTACCGGGTTGGACCCCCCTTTTGCCTTCAGAACTGCCTTAATCCTTTGTGGCATAGATTCAACAAGCTACTGGAAACATTCCTCAGAGATTTTGCTCCATATTGTCATAATAGCAACACGCAGTTGCTGCAGATTTGTCGACTGCACATCCATGATGTGAATCTCCCATTCCACCATATCCCAAAGGTGCTCTATTGGATTGAGATCTGGTGACTGTGGAGGCCATTGGAGTACAGTGAACTCATTGTCATGTTCAAGAAACCAGTCTGAGATGATTCGCGCTTTATGACATGGCGCATTATCCTGCTGGAAGTAGCCATCAGAAGATGGGTACACTGTGGTCATAAAAGGATGGACATGGTCAGCAACAATACTCAGGTAGGCTGTGGCGTTGACACGATGCTCAATTGGTACTAAGGGGCCCAAAGTGTGCCAGCGTTTTTCCAATCTTCTATTGTCCAATTTTGGTGAGCCTGTGCGAATTGTAGCCTCAGTTTCCTGTTCTTAGCTGACAGGAGTGGCACCCGGTGTGGTCTTCTGCTGTTGTAGCCCATCCGCCTCAAGGATTGACGTGTTCTGTGTTCAGAGATGCTATTCTGCATACCTCGGTTGTAAGGAGTGGTTATTTGAGTTACTGTTGCCTTTCTATCAGCTCGAACCAGTCTGGCCATTCTCCTCTGACCTCTGGCATCAACAAGGCATTTGTGCCAACAGAACTGCCGCTCACTGGATATTTTCTCTTTTTCGGACCATTCTCTGTAAACCGTACAGATGGTTGTGCATGAAAATCCCAGTAGATCAGCAGTTTCTGAAATACTCAGACCAGCCCGTCTGCCACAGCACAAATCCTTAGTTTTTGAGATGTTAATCTACAGAGTTTTTATCAAAAACTCGGGCAAGGTTGTTCACTGCCTGCTGGTAACGGGTCAGCGCCGTGCTGTCCAACAGCTGAGCCACCACAGCCATGTCAGCTATTTAAAAAGAGTCATTCCTTCAATGTCACAGGGGATGATGTTGGTGTACACAGAGAATAGAATGGGGGATAAAACACAACCTTGAGAGATGCCGGTACTTAAAATCAACTTGCTGGATTTAAAACCATGTAAAAACACCTGCTGTGGTTCATGTAAAAAACTCTGAATCCATAAAATCAGTGTGGGGTGAACCTGAAGGCGTGAGAGGTGGTGCAGTAGGGTGTCTGTGTGTACAGTATTAAAAGCAGAGGAGAAGTCCATGAATAAAATCTTGGTATGGGGGTGTGCCAAGTCCAGTTGTTTGGCGACAGTGTCTGAAAGTGTGAGACATGCATCCCAAAAGAGTGCTTGAAGTTCAGCGTATTAAGTACAAATTGGTCTTTTTTCAGGCTTTCAGGAAACTAAACCTTTCTGCTTTAACAAGAACGCTTCAAACAAACACCAGGACTTTTTTTTTTTCCTGCTCTGAAATCTGCTGACTTCTCCAGCAGGGGGCAGCATCACACTGACCACACACTGGAGAGAAAGGCTTGAGGTGAAGCCATTGTGAAGGTCTGTCACCTCAGTGAGTACAAAATGACATTTAAAGTGCAATTCATCCAATCAGTGTCACAGATAAGACACACTAAAAAGGTGTTTTGAAGATAATTCCCTGTAATCTTCTGCATAATTAATTTATTTCCTGTATTAAGATGTACATTACTTCCAGTTGAAATAACTTGGGGGAAAAAAGTTCAATTATGTAGGTATGTAGGGGAAAACAGAGCTTCTAACACCACTACCAATGATAGTCATAACAAAATGAACGATGTAAAAGAAAATTAACAAGGAATTATAAAAAGTTAAAAATAAAAGAAGGTCTGGTCAGACCAGAGAAAACTGTACATACTGAAATACCACAAGAAATCCTACTGAACACTGTGTAGTTGCATCCACAGTGTCACCATTTTATGATACTGTATTTGTAAGTGTAGCTACATAGTAACTTATTGGCATATTTTAAAATACAACATGCTGATAATCTGACACATACTCACACGTCCTCAGATGAATCCTTGCCTTCTTCAAAGTCCTCCTCTGGCTTGTTTGAAAGGTGGCTTGTAGCTGAATCTTCCTGACAACTTGCTTTGCCGTGTTTCATTTTGGAGCCGTGCTGCATCTCTTTTATTTATCTAGTATATTTTATTACTGACAACGCAACCTGCAGTTCAGCCAAAAACTCTCCAAATGTTTGTCCCGTGATTGCGTGTCATAGCTGAGTCAGTCATGACTTCTCAGTTGCACTGAGGAGCTCAGACCTGATTTATTTATTTATTTATTTTTACAAGATATGGTGCCAATGGTTTATTTTTGGTACATTTTGAAAGAGACATAGGATAAGGTGAATTCAATAAAATATAACATTTATTTTTGCTGGTTATTTCTGATTGAGCTAAGTAATTAAAGAACTGTTGCAAAGTTAGAAATCTATTTTTTTGTTTGTTTGTTTTTATAGTTTCTAGCTGTTCAAATGGTGTAATTTTGGCATTATATATTTTTTTCTATTTTTCAATATGTTTTAAATTTGCTGTTAGGTTTTGTGATTAAGAGGGTTACACCCTAATCCCCTAATTCTGTCAGGTAAATTTGTATTTGTATTTGTATTTGCATTGTTGTCTTGATTAACTTCATCTTAATTGCTTTGTCTGTTTAAAACACTTGAAAAAAAAAAGGTGTCATATAAAGTTATTATTAAAAATGATAATAAATGAAAAATAACTGCATATTCATAGATTTTTTTTTCCACCTAAGGGGATCTTCAAATTCATTGTATGTTAAACAAACAACATTCCCAAGTTGGGACTTCATACATCAGCGAGGCAGGTATTTAAGAGAATATTCAGGCCAAGTACATTTTTGGTGAAATATTCCCTTAAATTTAATTTTACAGGTAGGAAAAACGTTCATCACTTCAGAAATGAGCTTCATATCAATGGACAGTATCACCAACAATAATCACAAAATAATAATTATAGTAAGATAAAAAGGGGGGATAAGGACCACAATAAAAGGAAGAGAAGAGAAAGGTAAAGATTTGGTCTGACCTGAGAAAACTAGATCTGTAGAAATACACCACAACTGTGTTTAAATAAGAACTGACTGAACTTCATGTACATCTACAGCATCACCATGACAATCGTATGGCTCCAGGGAGGAGGCAGAACAGGATAACAGAGCCAACATGGCTGCTGCTCACACTAAAACGCTTATGATACTGGTCAAAGTCACTGGGAAGATATTTAAGAGGAGCTATCTGACAACCTTCATCTCTGTTTTATAAGAGGTTGGATGTGATGCTTCTCAGTTCTTTACGAGGAACAACTAAAATTGTTCAAGACAAAAAAGATCTGACTGCAACTGAGGGAGGGGAGGAAAAGAAGAAGAATGGAGGAGTAAAGACAGAGGAAGCAGAGCAGGAACAGTCTCATGCAGTCATTTCGATGTGTACTGCTGTCTGTTTAGGGCTGGTGCAGTTAGTGCCCTCTGGCAGTGCCCCGGCGGTGCTGCAGCTTCGGATGCCATCGGTGGAGCCCACGCTGGAAGCCGAGTGAGTCCTGGAGCGAACCAGCCGGGTCATACCAGCTGTGGGCACTGAGGGGGTCAGAGAACACACTGTTAGCAAACAGAACACATCAGTGCGGAAATGGCTGATGTGCATATGGAAGCTTGTATGATTTAAATAGTCCACACTGTGACTGAGCAGCTGGATTCAAATCTGATGATGGAGAGTCTCAGGCTCTGTTCCCACTGAAGCTCCAAATATTTCTCATTTCAGCTGCAGTGAGTCAAGTTTTTAATGTCTTTTAAGAAGCAAAAGAACAAAGGCTGTAAAGTGTAAATCTGCTGCGTCAAATCTGAATTAGCATGTGCAGCACACAATTAACGGCTTGTTTTAACAACAAATATCCTATTTTATCAGAGTTAACTGAAGGCATCAGTTTCAAATGTGTGCAGCTTCTGCAAAGGTGTTCATAACACAAAGCATTAGTAAACTCTGGGTTGTTTCTGTTCAGCAGGGCAAAGCTGACATCTTCATTCTTCCTGTGAATATGCTAAGTGGGCACAGAGAGGAGGGGCTCCTGATAGATATATCCATTGTTAATATGTTTGTGATACAATGAAATATGATTTTACCCATTTTAAATTGTAAAAAAAAATGAATAGGAAAACAACATGTGGCAGTCATTGCTGATAATAGGCAGGTATCTACAGTATGTAGTATTTCAGTATGTAGGAAACATTGATTTGACACAATCAGACTTTTTTTCAAATATGGTTGGACACCTTCACAAACATGGTTGGAAATTTTAACCCATCGCCCAATCCTATGCAGCAACTAAACAGGCACATTTGCAAAATGCTGGAAAGCACGCGCTAAATCGAATCGTTCCTGCTGTGGAAAAGTCCTGTTAATTTCTTTAGTTGATGTCTCTCTTCTACCGGCTTTTAATTCACGTTAGTGTTTTTGAGTTTTAGATCCTGCACTTCCAAACTATCAGCCATGAGCAGCAGCTGAGAACTGAGCCTGAAAGTCTGCAGTGTGAACAGAGCTGAAGAGTTGGCATGCAGCGCAACCTACTTTAGCTGCTGAGGAAAAAGAACAGTTCAGCTGATCCACAGCATGCAGACAGACACATAGGGACACACAGAGACACGCGAGGGGAAGGACTGCTGAGAAATAACAGCCAACAAACA